TGTGAGACAATACAGTAAATGATGTGAGAATGTTGTTATGAGTTTAACTGGTAGATAAATCCCATTCTACAGCAGGACAGCCTGCAGCCTACAGGCCAGTGTTGTCCAGAGCTGCTCCTGATCTGATCCCAGAGTAAACTGTCGGCTCTGCTGTTTCAGAGCTCCGCTTTCCTGTCAATAAGGAGACGTTGATGCAATTTATTTATAATATCAAACCCTTTTAGAAGCATCAGAAATAATAATTATACTAGCCAGAAAACTATAGATCAATGCAGAATATATCTTTACCCTTCTTCTTCTTCTTCTTCTTGGCTTTGGTTTGATGGTTTATCTCAGCATAAGTTGCAGTGAAGTCTAATTAAGAAAGCATCTGAGTGAGTCCTCAAGTGGTTGGGATTAAGGACACATTTCTGGATTAAGTTGATCACTGAACATCAAATGTTCGCTAAAAAATCCTTATGTTTATTAGTGTTGCACCGATACCGGTATCGGACAGGGCACTGATCCAGCTCTAAAATGGTGGTATCGGTATCGGTGAGTACCGGCAAATAGGGCAACGATGCCATTTTGAGAGCAAAAATTTTATTCAACTATTGTCACCCATTCCAGGTAGGCAATAATAAGTTCTACTGGATTCAGTTCGTATTAGTTTTTTTCCTGCTTCACAAAGGTAGGCAGCAGCTTGACAAAGCAATGATGGCAATTATTTTACATCCAAGTAGTATGCAGGTCTTCACATATACACACACATCAATTTCAAACGGATGGTATGGGTATGGTATCGTATCGGCCGATACTGCACAGCCAGCTATCGGGTATTGGGCCAAAAATTGGTATCGGTGCAGCACTAATGTTTATCATGATCTTTTGAATAGTTTATCCCGAAGGATTTCAGTTCATCCAGACTTTATGTCAGTTTTGTGGATTAATTTGCAGCTAATGATACCAGAATATATCCGAGAGTCTGATCAACATTGGTGGTTAAATGATTCAATTAGGGCTGCAACTAACAACTATTTTCCAAATTGATTAATCTGTTGATTATTTTTGTAATACACAGATGAATAATCAGTTAGCAAAAGGTTCCTTGAAGAAGACTTTTTGCTAAAACAAACCAGATGATACTAAAACTTTTCCACTTGAGGAGATCTGGATAGAGCATATTGACAGACAAAAAAGATTTTTATCTTAAATGTAAAACATTTATAAATGTTTTTTACAGTTTTGGTATAAAGGCACATTTTAGATTCTCTACACTCCAGTTACTGATCAATTGATTATTTAATTAATTGAATTTTTTTTCAATATTTGATTTTTGAATAATTAATCACAGTAATTCTGATTCAATGTTTCAGCCATAGATTCAATTAAATTTCAATACAGTTTATTTATATAGCACCAAGTCACAACACATGTCATCTCAAGACACTTTAGAGGGACAATTTAACTAGATCATACAGTTAGAATTGGTTCAAAGTTTTTTTTTTATCTAAGGCAAACCTCTTGATTGCATCAACTCATTCAATCGAAAGCAATTCCTCAAACTAAGACTGCTTGTTGCGACAGTGGAGAAGAAAACTCCCTTTTAACAGGAAGAAACCGCCAGCAGAACCAGGCTCACAGTGAGCGGCCATCTGCCAAGGCCGACTGGGGTTCAAGGAGAAGCAGAGATACAAAAAGAAGCAGAGATACAAAAGGCAACTGTCAACCAGCTCTACAGGAGCCCCCCTTCCAGAAAAATCAGCCAGGCAAATGAGCTCCAAGCCAGTTCTTATGTCAGAGCATGAAGAGAGCACATCCAACCAGTCACAGTGAGAAAACAGGACTACACTGAAAAACAGGCTGATCTTGAACATCTATAAACAAAGGTGTTGATCGCAGCAACAGAGCTGATATTTATCTCCAGGTGTCACAGCCAAACAAGAACAGATCAGATGAAGCTACTATCAGAAAGAGAGAGAGAGCATAAAGTCACAAATTGAACTAACACCTTCTGCAGAGTGGGAGAATAGATATAGAATGAAGCAGAATGATGAAAAAAGGGTCCCTATGTCCTCCAGCAGTTGAAGCCTATAGCAGCATACATAGAATCTGAGATAGCTCAGGATAACCTGAGCCACTTTAACTATAAGCTTTCCAAAAAGGAAAGTTTTAAGCCTGCGCTTAAAAGTAGACAGTGTGTCTGACTCACTGACTAAAACTGGTTGTTGGTTCCACAGGAGAGGAGCCTGATAACTAAAAGATCTGCCTCCCTTTCTACTTTTATAGGAACCACTAGGAAGCAAATGAAGAAAAGCTAGGATTGGAGAGATATGATCTCTCTTTTTAATTTTCATCAGAAATCTGGCTGCAGCAATTTGGATCAGCTGAATGCTTTTAACTACAGTTTGTGGACTTCCTGATAGTAAAGAATTTAAATAAACCAGCCTTGAAGTAACAAATGCATGGACTAGTTTCTCAGCATCATCCCTGTACAGGATAGTTCTTTTTTTTTTTTTTTGTTGTTGCAATATTCCAGGCATTAAAGGAAACAATATTCTAGAAACCTCTTTGATATGGAATTTAAAAGACAGGTCCTGATCAAACATAAGATGTTTTACTTTGTTGTCTGAGATTAATTTAATCCCATCCAAATGAAGTGACTGACTAATCAACTCTTGTCCTAAAACAAAAACTTCTATTGATTCAANAAACAATATTCTAGAAACCTCTTTGATATGGAATTTAAAAGACAGGTCCTGATCAAACATAAGATGTTTTACTTTGTTGTCTGAGATTAATTTAATCCCATCCAAATGAAGTGACTGACTAATCAACTCTTGTCCTAAAACAAAAACTTCTATTGATTCAAAATGACACAGTTGATTCACCTGAAGCTGTTTATAAAGATATATTATATGGTGATAGTAACTGTAGAGCTATTCATATAGAGATGCTGTTGGTGAAGATTTGCAGCAAAGAAACCACGAATAAAAGCGGAATAGAAGGAAAATATGTTTTGAATATAGATGTGTTTAGTTGGTTTTATTTTATATCTGGCTCATGTTTCTTGCTAAGAAAACCATTATGGCATATTAGTAAAAAAAAACATAAAATATAATTCAAAGTTGAAAATATATATGCAATTAGATAAAAAGTAATAGAAAATGACTAAAAATAGTGGAATTTCAGACCTTCACAGGGAGAGTTGTATTCATGAATCTCAATCTGATTGCTCCTCTCTGAGTGCCTTGATATAAAGAATAGAAAAATATGACATTTAATAAATTAAATGAAACATATAATAACAAAATATTTCTATTAATATAAAGAAATGAAAATGTGAGGAACTGACCTGAAGCAGAATAAACCTGTGAAAAATACATTTGAGTTTCTTTGATTAAATGAAACTTTATTGAATGAACTAGTTGAATTAAAGGGGTTTTAATCTGATCCAGTGTGAACAGAAAAAGGTCTCACCTCTGGACTGACTGCAGCGCCACAACAGGAGGAGCAGAACAACAAGAACGATCCCAGAAACTGGTACAATGATCCACAAGATAAGAGAGCTGAAGGGACCGGACACAGCTGCTGGAAAACATCAAATTAAAATCAAGACATTGTATTAATCTGAGCAATTCATCATATTATTCTCAATTTCAGAAAATGGATCTTCTATCCAGACAAATAGAATCGTATCTCACCAGATACTGACAGGATGATTGATTCACTCCACTCTGT